AACTACTGCTTTATGGAAGAGCAAAGTTCAATGTCATTGGCCACAGTAATGACATTTAGAGGGATGGCTCATTAAAAGTTTCGCCGTGACTCCGGACTTTTCTTTAGGTTTATACAAGACTTACATATCACTGTCAGGAAGGTTTAATCCTGTTTAATGTCTTGTTTCTATTTGCATAATGTGAATGAGGGATTTATTGTCAAAATATATACAGGTGCTTGACACTATACAAAATTCGACCAATGCACATCCGTTTCATGTGTTAAAAGAACATTGCGATGTTCTCATGGAATTGTCAAATCTTGGTGTCATTCCCAACTGTCACAAAATTGTATGCTTTGACGACTCGTATGCAATATTGTAAGATTATGTTTAAGATATACTCAAAGTCAGGTATACTCGAAGTGAATCCAGCACAGCGCCTTTTATAAATGTCATGGTTGTGTTATAAGCAAGTCTCAGAAGTATTGGGGCAGCCAATTTTCAAACTCGCTAGCGAATTGGCTAACGGCTTGGGTTTTGACTAAGCAGTTGGCTTTCCAATATCGCTGGCACCGACCTGTGGTCGCGTCTACTCTGGGTAAGTGTATATTGCTTTAGGTGACATAGAATGCTTTTACTTGGCTTGGTACGTGTCTGGTTTCATTTGGACGATTTGCTTTGTTATGTTAGGTGGCGTGATAATGTAAAAGTAGTATGAGTAATTTATAATTTACATCAGGTTAGCCATCTTGAACACGGCATGAAACAAAATAAACAATCAGTTTCCTATAAATCCAGTTTCCCACCATTTCCAGTTATTATGATTGTGTGAATGAGAGCTTTGCCCCACACAATAAGACATGATAATATGTGCGGATATGTGTGAGTATGTTTCATGGATTAATAGGCCACTCCTTTGCTTCAATTCCAACTGTATCTCTGGAAATATCACTTGCTGTTTATCATCCATATTTCGATATCCCACAATGTGTCGAATGCGTGTCTGATAATTCTAACTAACTTCTGTTTCGCAAAATTCGAATAGCCTAGCTTCTACCAGTCATTTAAGTCAACACCCATATTGCCGTTCACAGTGAAGGTTAATTCAGATATATTGTAAATTACACAGAGGTAACACTACAATACATTTCCCTTTACATTCCTTTGCATTACACAACAGTCCTTGTGCTGATTCAGTGATGGTTCACAACTATCACCAGTTCTCTTGTTATAAATTGGATTCGAAACCGCAACCTAAACACTAGTATGACATTACACGTTATCAAAAATACATCTTGTTGCCAGGGGGCTAGGGCCTCCCTGGTTGTCGATTTATTGGCAACTGTTTGTGCTAGTTTTCAAACCGGGGTCAATCTCTGACAGTTAACCTATCGAGTTTCATCCAATACTCAATATTGAATGCTGGTGTTGAATTATGGCAAGAGGGATTTGTGTATCAATTGGAATTTGGGGTTAGAGTTACACTATTTGAAACATAGTGGAGCCATTTACATTGGTTGTACTATTACGATATAACTTCCATGTAACCTTTGAATTCAGTGCAATATCTCATGTTAAACACATACGAACACAATGAGTAATGCATATTAGCTGTAATCTCATTTTATTACCACTAATCCATAATGTAAACACTGCTTATTTAACGTGTTTTACTTATGAATAATTGAAAGACCCGTCACCATCGTCGAATATGTCATTGTAGATGTTCTCGTGAATACCAACGTCTACCTTTCGGATTATATACTGCAACTATGAAGAGAACACAGAGTAAATTGTTATTGTTCGAAGACATGCCATAGTCAGTACCCAAAATAGATGTGTTGAAAAGATTTAAGTTGTAGTCAAACTGGCGTATGTATTGAAATTTGTCTGATATTTAGATATTTGTTGATATACCAAACTATGGTTTCTACCAACAGAAGTATTGTGGTATAAGATGGGTGTTGTGATAGAAACACTAATTAGAAGTTTTATTTATATATCACGTGGTAGGTGTTGAATTATGCGTGTAGTAAATTAAATTGTATTTAAATAAATTGAGACACGATGTGTACTGTCAGTGCAGCTGGTCAAAACAATCTTTCAATGTGATTGTTTCTCGTGGTATAATTAAGAAACATTAAGTATCACTTATTACTCATTAAACGTTCTGAATCAAGTGTCAAATTCACGCTGTGAGAATTACTATGCATCATGTGTTTCACAACAAACTTGAATATCTTGTAAGATTTGGTTTTCAGTAAAACGTTCACATTATGTCGGTGACTTGTGTGACAAGAATGAAGGTCAATAGGGTTATATGACGTATGTTTTGTTTTTTGTGTATTTAACATTTCGGGCATCGTTAAATGAGACCATGGTCAAAAAACCAGGATTTTCCTGAAAGACACGCTACCATAATGTAAAATTTTCAAATATAATTTATACAAACTCTCGGATTATTGTAAGGTGCTTGGGTAATCCTGAAAATTCTTTGTGTTGCTCTAAAATGAATTATACTTTGCGATGAGTTGCATGTTTCCATGAGCCTACTTGTCATCCGGACCTGGTTACTACAGTCTGTTTTAACATAGCAATGTCATCGCTGTCACTATTTTCATCTTCTTCACTGCTGCTGCCTATTTCCTGGTCCACAATGTCATCATCCCCAAAGTCATCAGATTCATCTAGTTCATAAAGAGTGGAGCTTGTTCTCTTCTTTATGGTGCTTAAGTGTGTGGCAAGTTTTTTTTCTGCTTATCTGTATGTGCTTT